CGTGCTGGCAAGCCGAGAAAGGCAAAGAAGACCGCTCTGCTGCAGCAAAAGCATGCATCTCCTCGCCACACAAGGGGTGCTTGCTTGCCCCCTCCCTCCCTCCCTCTTGGTGGCTGCCTAGCCTCCCCCCTTCCCTTTACAACAACGTGGGCATCAGCCATCTGTGCTCCATGAAGTCTGCCTGCTCAGAGTTACTGATCTCTTCAGCTCAGCCATCAGTTGCAATTCTGGGAGAGCCCTGGCCAGTCAATAGCAGCAGAGTGGATAAAGGAATGAATCAAGCAAGGAAGGAGTGGGCAGCTGGCTTCAATGTGTCACGGCTGAACTAAATTCAAAGTTATACTTTTCTAATAGCTTGGGGGGCTTTGGGGACTCGCTGGCACTGGGGCTCACCCCTAACCAATAGGGGGCTGAGCCCCTAAAGCTCCACTACTGGCTACGACCCTGCTGCTCCCCCTCAAACAGTCAAACCCCTTACAGGTTCTGTCCTTGAAGGTTGCTATCTGCCCTGTTGGTGCTGGCCCCTAGTCTGTGGATTTTCTTTCTGAACAAGATGCACTAGATATGCACTCTTGACCTTTTAAGAAGGGTGGTTAATTTTTTTTAATTGCCAGATCTGTTAAGGTGTCTGGTTTCTATTTTTTCATCCATATATTTAAGTTAATAACTTTTGTGGTTATTTAGTATTTGAGGTAAACTCCAACCTTCCTCTATATGTCAAAAAATATTTAGTCTTAAATAAAATCTTGTTTGCCTGATAGAGTAAAACCAGTCAAAGCTGTGTGTTTATTGGATTTGTGACAAAAATGTATGTCTTTATGATAGATTGTCCAAATACTAAATCTTTCATACAACTTGTAGTGAATGCAAGACGACAAGTTGTGATAAAGAAAGATCTCCAAGGATGAATTGGGAGATAAACTGTGAAACAGGGCAGGAAAAAATATATAAAATTCTGGTCTGTTTACAGAGGCCTCTTTCCATGTAACTAGATAGTCACACACTGTTTTGTGTTACTTGGCTTGTGGGAGTGTTGATAGGATGGGACATTCCCTTCTTTCTCCAGTTTCTACAAAACTACAGAGAGGCTGTTTCCTACCTTGGCTTTCCCAGTTTTTCTAATACTGACTGCAGAGATTTGGTTGTTCCAGCTCCACTTTCTCCCTAAAAATAGTATAAAGCACCTGGGACTGGGAAAAGAGAGGCTGCTGTGCTTCTAGGGTTGCCAGACTCCAGGTGGGGCCTGGAGATATCCCGCTTTTACAACTGATCTCCAGCTGACAGAGATCAGCTCCCCTGGAGAAAATGACTGCTTTGAAGGGTGGACTCTATGGCATTGTACCCTGCTGAGGCCCCTCCCCTCCCCAAACCCCACCCTCTCCTGGGTCCACCCCCAAATTCTCCAGGTATTTTCCAACCCAGACCTGGCAACCCTATGTGCTTACAACATCGGTCTGCAGAACTTCAGCTGCTGTAATATCATGTGCATAATTTTAGTTGGTGGAATGTAGGGGTGATGGTATCTTTTGTCAAGACTAGCTGCTGGTCCAACAGCAGCATCTTAAAAGGGTATAGCCAGGACCTGCTATTTGTGGTTTTTGTCATGTGCTTCTCTAGTGCTTTGTGCTGCCACTGACTGCCAAAGCTGCAATGTTGCTGGGGCTGAAGACTTCCTCCCCCCAAGACTGTTCTGTCGGGTTTGTGGTAGTGTAGTGTTTCCCCCCAAGATAAATTGCTGACTCTTGATGCCCCCCCCCCAATTATTTAAGTATGTCTAAGTGATGACAGGAAGGGGCTGCATGATAGTTGGAATTTTTAAATAACAGGTGTGGGTTGTTGATGTCTTGATAAGCTTGGATTCTGGATGATTATATTGGGATTTAGATTGTGATTGCAAGCCACTTTGAGTCCTATTATCCAGGATAAAAGCAACATATAAATATTTTAAATAATTAAGTTGTCTAGATTATCTGTAGTGGAACAAATATACCTAAAGCAAATATATTTGTTGGAGTTCGTTCTGATGTAAAAGAACTGTGACTGGAAGATTGGTGAAAACCAATGTGAAAGTTGGGGGGAAATACAAACTTTCAAATGGTAAAGTTTATGTAGGTTGTTACATTAGGATTTCAAGGACCAAAAATACCTGTTTCCCGGACGACAATACGGAATCAGTGTAAGCCATAGTAGAATAATAGCTTTTATGTCTTCCTAGCAGGTGATCCCTCTCTGTGTGCTGAAAATTCAGTATTCTTTACCTACAAGCATTACATGGTGGTGTTGAACAAATGACTCCTGTAAATCATTTTCCTAATATACAATATACTTAGTATATTCCTAAAATGGTAAGGAACATTGGGCGATTGCATTCTGCAGTAACTGGGAATTATCCCCCCCCCGTAAATCTCATTGGATTGAATCCTAAGAACGGTGAGCGGAAATTTGTTCATGGGTCTGATTTTTCCCAAGCCTCCACCTTCCTTCTTGCAACCCTATGTGTGATGGAGGCTATTCAGGAGAGGAAAAAAATGCAGAAATTGTTGTCCCCCTCTCACACAACTGGAAACATTTTCAGTACATCATTGAGTTGGATCCAATCCATATGTATCTACTTCCACAATAATTTCTTTAGGTAACTGAACTTTCAGTGGAGAAGGAGACAGTTGTTCATTGGATGTGGATACTTCCTCATTGCATAGGACCTTGTTCTTCTGTAGCAACAGTCACGTACTTTCATCTCTGATCCCTAAACAATATTTGGTTGTCAGGTTGAACACCAAACAGGTAACTTATTCTATTCAAACCAGAAACAAGACTGGATGCTGTTTGTAGCTAATTGGTCTATCCTGTGAAACTAAGAGTGGGAGAACAGGTACTAAAGAACATAGCATTTCTTCTCAACAGTCATTCATGTAGACTGTGATTTCTGTAAAATCTCCAATTTAAAACTGGGAAATTAACAGGCAAAAGCTAGAGTTTTGATATTTAGGAATACTCTTTCGATATAACCTTTCATGGAAACAACTTATAGAGGAGGCTCAACAGCTAGCTACTCAAACGACCAATGTAATAACCCACTCTTTTTTTACTCTAAAGGAGGTATACCTGCGGCACTCTCAGTGTATAACTCTAAGGTGGGATCCCAGTTGTTATATGGTGCTTCAATTTGGATTCCTGCCTTCCATGTTCAACGATACTTTTTTTGCTAGATTCCTTCGAAGAATCTCAGGAGCCCCATGCTGTGTGGCAGGAACTGCATTGAGAGCTGAATTAGGTGTGTGCTCCCTAGAAGCAAGGGCCTGGGCAGCTGCTTTTGGACTTTGGCTCAAGTTAACCTTTGCCTCTTTGGGAATGGGCAGGTTCATTTGGGTGGATGCCTTTAAAACAACTTGGCAGAAATTGCTAATCTCTTGTTTGGATTGCCTGGGGATTTCCCCTAATGATATTGATAGTTTAGTTTAAGCTCTGTTAGAAAGTTGATTTTGAGATGTCTTTATGAGATGAGTCCAGTACTAGATTCAGGGCCCACAGAGTTTGCTCTCCCCTTTATTTTGGATTCACATACTCAAAATATAGACAAGCCTTTATGTTGGCCCATTTTAACTCATTTCCAATGGCAGATCTGTCAGGTCGCTTTGAGAGGATTCCATTAGTTGAAAGATTCTTTAGCTGTGAAACAGGGAGTCTTGACACTTGGTAACACTGTTTATTAGACTGTCCAAACATGTTTGTTTCTCGCTTCCTAAAGGACCTAGCCAGTTCCTCAGCCTACTGTAAGCTACAGACTCTCTTGACTGGAAACTATTATGATAATACTCTGGCTGTTGCTAAATTCTTTTCTTATGGGATTAAATCCAACAGATAATTAGAGCTTGATAATTTGATGCTTTACCTGTTAGATGTGCCCATTGTTATAATAATTATTATTAATATTCCATTGTTACGCTGAATTGTTAATGCTCAAGAGTATAATCATAAGAGCAGAGAGTTAAAGTAAAGAAAAGATTTCTGCACAGTGCTGCAGTTTTGAACTAGCCATAATAGTGGTTTGTCATAGTCCCTGTCTTGCCTGCAGGCGTCTTACTTATTTAACCAGTATGCCCTGAAACCTGAAAAATCCTCCAACTGAAGCATCTTAAGAAGGAAAGTCTGCGCCACTTTTATTTTCCCACAGGCAAGAAACTGTCCCACCGATGATGGGAAGAAGGTGATCAAAGGGTTGCAACCAAGAATATTCTATGGCCACTGAGCAGGAAGTAAGGAGGCTCAAACAGCATTTCTTTATCCAAGAGGCCCAATATCATATTTTGTGACCTTTGATCTTGGTTCCTTTGAAAAATGAAGCTTTAATTTTTCAAGGCTTCTTTCACAATTTAACAATGAGAGAGCTTTTTTAATTTCTTATTTTCTACCATTCAAGATGTGTAGCATCTATAACACAGGAACAGCCAATCGTTAGTTTGAACACGTAAATCCCTATTTGTTTTGAATCACCTGGGAATGAGGAATGTGTATTATTATAAGATGTGTATCATTAGAGGTGCATATTTTCCTGAGGGGGTTCTTTCCTATGCTTACAAAATGGTTAGTACAGTATTCTTGAAAGCACAAAAATGCTGTTTGAACAGGCATAACACATGATGTAGTGAGATGTTATTATGAAGGTAACAGAGAAACAAAAATTGACATCTTGCAAAAATTACCATAACACTGAATGTATTCTAAGATTGCTGTTCTGTATCTTCTGTCATTAAAAATACAACCTTACATACCTTTCTTTACACAGTTATACAGATAATATACAAGGCAATGACATTACATATGCATTTAATATCCATGATATTTGTCATTATTCAATTAATTAGCTCCATTAATGGGTAAAGCTTTCTTTAGGCTTTGTCCCCCACAATATAGCCCTGAAACTTTCTCCAGTCAGTGGTTTAGAGGTAGAAATTACTGAACAGTTTTCTTAACTCTTCAATTTCTTTCTGCCATCATAGGAGAGCATTGAATCTAGGAATTATTCGAGATCCTGGATCAGAGGTAGAAGACAGGCAATATCAAATAGATCTCCATTCCATCAACATTGGTACAGCTCAGTGGGATCAGCTGAAGCCAGAGAAGGAAAATGGTAAAGGAAGGACACTTCCAGAAAGTGAAAGAAATTCTCAGAATCCAGCCCTTGAATGGAATATGGCTAGTAGGTAAGAAACAAGTTTTAAATTGTGGCTCCTAGATTTTACTAAAAATAAAAACTAAGCAATGATTATAGCATCCCGTATATCCGAGCAAAATATTTTGGTATCTGTATGTTCACGTGTGTTTGCATTCCATGGCAAATGTGCTTTCCATGAACTTGAGACTAAATAGTACATTTCAAGTTGTTGTTTGTAGTATTGTTATACTATAATTGCAGTGCAGATACTGTTATGTCTATATTTCCATAATAGCTTATTATATAGCCATAAAATTTTACTCCTGGCTGGAACCTGGCATTCACATTTCCAGCTTAGTAACAAGAGAGTTGTTATCCCCTTTGTAGTTTTACAGAGTTTGAACAAAACCGTTTTAGACATTTTTAAGCCAGCAAAGGACAAAAAGATATTTTCCCTATTGGCTTGAAACCAGTTTTTGTGCTTCCGTAAATGAAAACAGATGTGATTTTTAAATGACAAATTTCCGCTGATTTGTTGATATGTAAAAAAAGGACTTTCAGCTCAAATCTACTTAGAAATGTTACTTTGATATCTTCCATTTTTATTATTCTGCTGCAGTAGGCTTTGATGATTTTTCAGTTAGATGTTACAAAAGTCCTGTACAGATGATCTGCAGAATAATTTGGGGAAGAGGGAATTAAGTGTGTGCCTTCTTGCCCCACCACTGACCATCATTAATTTATTTGATCTTCAGAATAGTTCCTAATGGAGAGATTCTGTTCAGAACATGTGGAGGCAGGGAAGGCAAACCAGGAGTCCCAAGCTCTCTTCCTCTACACATATATTCATTAGAATTGCCATAGTGTCTACACAGGACTCTTTTATGCCTGAAACAAGTAGAGGAATCATATAAGCAGTCATAGCAGACTTGGCATTAAGGCTCTTTTTTCATTAAATCCCAAATTAATTTTGTAAAGATATTTCTTCAATATTTTAAGCGCAGAATTTTCTATAGGAAACAAGTAGCAGTCATGTTGAGTGGATTCTTCCCCTATTTGCCTTTATAATTTTCCCCCCTTAAAGTCTAGTCCTTGATTTGTAGGAAAAGATCTTAAAAGTACGTACATCAAGAAAGGTTTCTTAAACATAATACATCAAATGCAACTATTATGTCTCTATGCCATTCTTGCCATTTTAAATCAAACAGCCTTTTAAAACTATTGTTTTAATAAACTGTTTTTAAGAAATTGATTGCCAAGTCTGGAGTGACTTTTAATAGCAATGCTGTAAACCGAAGAAAAGTGCAGTTTGCAATGGAAATGCTGACACTCCAGTAAGTCGAGCAGTGATCATGATAGCTCTATATCATGGACATTTGTAAAAACAAGCCACAGCTGAGGTCCCCATCTGATCCCCAGAAAATTAAAGAGCCTTTAAAAGCTTTGCAAATGCATCACTGTTCTTTTCTATTAGAAAAAATAAAATGTGCTGATAATTCTGTCTCTGGGTCTCTTGATGTAGAACATCAAAACTCCTTTGGTGCCTTTAGTTCAGGAACTTAACAAATGAATCAATGACAGTAGTTTAAATGAGCAAGACATTTTCCTGCTTTTATCAGAAAGACTAGATAATGGTTAGAATGTAAGAAAAGTAGATCATAGTGTCACTTACCGCTGATAGCGGGGGGGAGAGCCCAGGACATTCACGTGCACAAAGCGCGCGTGCTGCGATGACATCAGCCGAAAGTGACATCACCGCGTTGGGCACATTGCTGGCTGATGCTCTAGCAATCAGCCTGGAAACTTTTGGTGGCAGGGTTCCCCCGCCGGCTTTTTCTGGACTGGCGGATTGGGGACCCTTTTAGCAAGGGGACCTCCACCCTCCCGGGGGACCTGGCAGCCCTACTGCATGCCAGTGTTTTAATGAAGAGATTATCTTTCTTTCTTTTGGGAAGGATATTTTTCAAAATATTTTTAACCAAAAAACAAACAAACCAAAGTAGCACTAAGTTTCTAGCATGTCTTATTTGTATAGGTGCAGTATTCTTTGTGTCTTCTTTTGCCATCGAGTTGCAGCTGACTTATAATCAATGTTCCCTCTAAGCTGAGTTAGTGTGAGCCAGCTCACAGTTTTTTAGCCTCTGGCTCACACATTTTTGTCTTAGCTCAGGAAGGAGGGCTCCAGAGCAAACTAATTTATGCAGTAGACAAGTCGCTTGCTCACTACTTTAATGCCAGTGGCTCACAAAGTAGAATTTTTGCTCGCAGGACTCCACAGCTTAGCGGGAACATTGCTTATAATGAACCTGTAGGGTTTTCAAGGCAAGAGACAAGACATTCAGAGGTGTTTTGCCATTTGCCTGCCTCTGCGCAGCAACCCTAGATTTCCTTGGTGTCCTCCCACCCAAATACTAACCAGGGCTGACCCTGCTTAGCTTTTGATATGAGATCTGCTAGCCTGGACTAGCCAGGTCAGGAATCTTTCTCAATATTCCTAAAGGACTTAATAGGGAAAGGGTTGGTTCCAATATAATTTTTTCCCCTGTGGGAATATATAACGTGGAAAGCATAAGGATGGAATAGAAAATCCAAGTAGATTTTTCAGCAAAGCTCTGGAGAAAAGACGTTGTTGGTTCCTCTTTCCTGATAGTTCCTGCAGTATCCTCATTATGCAGGCCTTCGTGGATCCAGAAAGGATCATTGATTTTTTAATTTGGTAACTCATAAACATTATTACATAAGTATATTGAGATAAATTACTGTTATTTCACACCTACACTGCAACATTGTGTATAATTTGAATCAAAGGTCTTCAAACATTAACTTTATTAGGGTTTTGACTTTCACTTTTTTAATCCAATCTCTCTTTTGGGGAACTACTTGTAATTGACATCTAGCAGACATGCAGCTGTTGCTATATTGATACATGAATTTACACATTTCACTTTTTTTTTAACCAATCAGTATTATGTCACAGTTCTGTCATTTTTTTAAAAAAAGTCTGTTACCTTTGCTGGTACTTTTCAGTGTTTAAAAATATGGGAAGGATATAGCAAGAGAACTGTTTCCTACATTCTTTTTCCAGAATGGCTACCTGGCTATGTGCTCCATTTCCTTTGCAGTGCAGGACAGTAATATGCAGCACACTACGTAGGGTGCATGGAAATAAAACTTCCAACTGACACTCTTTTTGTTGAACAAAATCATAAACTCCTGTATTTAAGTGCATATAACTCCTATGTTCAGGCTTGCCATATACCACCTGCCCTTTTGTTTTCTCAATGTCTTACTTTAACCAGATGTTCTTAAAAGAGTACTATGAACAGTCAGCTACTTTAATACTTCTGAAAGTCCTGTCTTTCTTTTAAAGCAATAAATATGTAGCAGATGCCTAAGTGGGACCTGGAGTGAATAAAGTATGGTCATAGTACCATCATTACACCATTCCTGATTGAGGATGTTCATATGGTACACACCTGTGACAAGTTAGCAGGATACTTAAGGGTACTACAGTGTAGAAGACTTAATAAAGAAAGTGAAGGTTTATTTTTTGTTCTCTCCTTGAAACCACTGAGAAGGAACACCTTGCTTTTGAAGACAATAAGTTGTCTTCAGTTTCTCTTTACACCTGCATTTGTTCCAATACTTGCTTTAGCTTATTTCCTAAAGAATTGCCTAAATGAGGCAAATGTTACTGGTAAGGAAATAGGTACTGATGTGCAGTAGAAATGTATCAAACTGGATATCTGTGCATCTCTCTATACACCATTTAACTTGTGCAGTTCTAGAAATAACAATACTTAAAAGGCTGAAAATATCAATGCTATAAAGATTTGGAATAGGTGTTACTTTTTATTATAGTGTTGGGCTTTTTATGTGCGTTTCAGCTACTAATGCCAATCCATTCTATAGATGTAGTCTGAGATGCACTTGGATCAAAGACTCTTAAATATTGTTGTTCGTTTAACCGCTGTGTTTGTTTCACTTGGCTGTTTCCTTGTTAATTGGGCATTGCTATTTCTTTGTTTGTCAGTTGTTAAGTGATAATTGGAATAACCAAAATATTAAGCAATGAAAATTGCATGAATACATTTTATTCTACAGTGGAGTGCCCAGAGACTGCTTTAATCACACTTTCTTATATTTCATATGTAAGATGACTGATGGTAAAGAGTGAATGAAAAACATTTGGTTTAAAGGAAATCTGGCTAAGACTAGAGTGATGCTGACTGGCAGGAAGAGGTATTGATAGAATTTTTGTAAAAAAATCTGAGAGCACTTTCTCAGATGAAGCACTTGCTTGCATCAGTGTGAATATGATTTCCAGAGTTGGGTTTTCCTAAGAATGCTTTCTCTTACTAGATTACAGCTGTTTTCAAATGGCCAGCTGTTTTCAGATGTGCTGACCAGAATATGACAGTCCACTATAATCCTTTGCGTGTTTACTCCAAAGGAAGTCCCACTTTACTTAGTATAGTTTTTCCTAGGCAAATATGCTCAGGATTGCAGCTATAGTTGTTATTTTGCACATTCATCTACAAAGTTAGGCCTACTGTAAACACAATGAAAGACATACAAAGCTTTCCAAGTTAAAAGATATTGTTAAACCACAGACTTTATCTACAGATAGCACCATAGTTTTATTACCCTTTTACAAGTTTGCCAACCCCAGGTTGAGAAATTCCTGGAGATTTGGGGGGTGGAGTCTGGGAAGAGTGGGGTTTGAGAAGGGGAGTGACTTTAGAGGGATATAATGCCATAGAGTCTACCCTCCAAAGCAGCCATTTTCTCCAGAGAAACTAGGGGTGCCAGTTCCAGGTTGGGAAATTCCTGGAAATTTGGGGGGGGGGGTGAGCCTGGGAATGGCAGGGTTTGGGGAGGGACCTCAGCAAGGGGTGATGCCATAGAGTCCACCTTCCAAAGCAAGCCATTTTCTCTAGAGGAACTGATCTGTGTTATCTGGAGACCAGTTGTAATTCTGTGAGATCTCCAGGCCCTAAACAGCAACTCTATATGAAAAAAATCAAGTTACTTTGTATAAAACAATTATTCCAGAACCAATTGCCTCTGAGAGCAATCTGATTTACCATTATATCTTGCACAGAATTTGAACTTAGGACATGTTGTGTTCAAATCTCTGTCAATCAGGTCTGAGTAAGAAGGATGTTGATCTAGGATTATAGTCCAACAAACTTCTTACTCAAACCTGATTTGATATAAATCCAAATCTTCTTCTTCCTCCTCCTCCTCTTCTTCCCTTTCTCTCCCTTCTCCTTCTTCTACACCACAAAACTCACCTACAGCAGTGCACCCATTTTTATATACTTGCTACCTTAAGAACACCTGGGAACTAAGGGGAAGGTTTATAGTTTAAAACAAACCTGTTTCTCGAAAATCATATGAGGCTGTGTAAGTTCCCTCAGTTGGCAGAGGAGGCCTGTCGCAACTGGCCTGTAGTTTCTCCTGCTATGATGCAACATGAGCGGTCACACAGATTCCCATATGGTATGTGAACTATTGCTCCTGGCTCTTCTGTGTTCAAGGGGTGACCTTTCTTCCATTCAGACTCTCCTATTAGGTTCTAAGAGCTTAACTGTTATGGACAGAGCAAAGTTTGAGTCGAGTGGCACCTTTAAGACCAACAAAGTTCAGTTCTGGGTATAAGCTTTCGTGCACGCGAATGCTTATACCCAGAAATAAACTTTGTTGGTCTTAAAGGTGGCACTGGACTCAAACTTTGTTCTCTTGATTCAGACCAATATGGCTACCCACCTGAATCTATTGTTACAGAGTGTTTGATTTAACTGGAAAGACCTTAGCTCAGCCATAAATCTCCATGGATGAGCTTGGGCTAGTCCTTAAGCGTCTCTGTGTAATCTACCTCATATGATGCTTGAAAGTTAAAGGGGGGGGGGGATACCTACTGTATTTATGCCACTTTGTGCTTTTGTAGGAAGCGTGATGATGACAATATAATAATAACCACT